AAAAAAAAGAAGACCTGGTTCAAGTTTGAACCTGGTGGTCATTTTTTTTCTAATAGTTTTTACAATCGAATCTCTGGTTATCATCATCATAAATTTCCAGGGAATTTCCTCGATTTTTATTTTGTTTTTTTGGAATGATTTTCTTGAATAATTTTTTTATTTATCTTTTGCAAAATTCTTATTCTTTGGCTTGTTTATTTCAATCAATATAGATCCACCACAAATGGAATTAAAATTAGGTGCACCATCATTATCATTGGATTCAATACAGGAAGGAATCGATATTTATTTTGATTGTCATATTGATTCAAATCCATTACCAACAACACCAATCACTTGGTTATTTAATGGTGAACCATTACAACCAGAGCCCGGTATGTTTTTTGTAATTTTTTTTTTCAATTGTTTCCCGGAATATTTCTCATCTTTTTTTCCAGAAATATTTCCCCATTGATCATTTAGTTTTTCTTTTCACAACAAATTCTGTTTGACTTTTTACATTTTACATTTTATTTTATCAAAATTTTCGGCGTTTTTTTTTTGTTTTGTGTTCAATGAACAACGAAAATAAAATGAGCCGCCGTCAAAAAAAACGAGTGAAAAGAAAGAAAAAGTCAAAACAAAACAAAACAAAAAAAAATATGCAAACAGAAAAAAAAATTCAAATTTCAAATTCTCAACACAGAAAAAGAAAACAGAAATCGAATGAAAAATACCTAACGATGAAAGATGGCAACAACGAAAAATGCTTCAACAACGAAAATTCAAACATTCTTTTTTTTTATTCATTTTCCCAATGGAAATCCCTTTGAAAAAAAATATTTGTATCATATTCTTCTTCAAAGATTCTTTGAAGAAGAATAACGAAAACGAAAAAAACAACCAAATCATCAAACCAAAAAAAAACCCGTTTTCATCACCTTACACCGAGTAGAGAAGAAACGAATCCAGAAAAAAACTTATTACTTTTTTCTTCTTCTTCCGAAAAAAAAGACATGCCGAATTGACTTTTACTTGATTCTTGATTCTCTCTGTGCTTTTTCTTCGATCAAATCATCTTTATTTTCGTTTCGTTCTTTTTCGACTTATTTTTACTTTTATTTTTTGACTTATTACTTTTACTTTTACTTTGGAATTATTATTATTATTATCCAATATTGTTATTACATGTAGCAGCAGTAGTAATAATTTTTTGCTGAATCGACACCAAAAAAAAAAGTAGTTACGTAACTCAGTTACGCGCGTAATATTGCTACTTACCGACATTACATTTACTTTCAAAAAACAGAAAAAATTAAGTAGATCGAGATGGATTGTTTCTTTCATCTTTTCAGGGAAATTTCTCAATTTCGTACAAGATCGACCTACTTAAATACTTAAAAATTCTGTTGTGAAAATTGAACATTTTAAAAAAGTTTTCTGAGAAAAAAATATGTCGGATTTGATGACCGTTGTTGCTGCCGCTGCTTATTGCTGAATTGATCATATCACAATTCAATCAATCAGTCTAATCATGTTATCATCCGTGTTTACAACCGAAAAAAAAAATGTTTACAGCAAAATTTTTCTTTCTTCAAAGTTTTCGTTAGTTAGTTAAAGATATTTGTTCAAATTCTTTTGAAACAACAAAAAAAAAATTAAGTTAGTTATTAAGAACAAAAAGTAAAGAGAAATTTTTCGGAAAGCCGATAATAATATTATCATTCTTAAACTTTCGAAGAAACAAAAAAAGTAAATAATATTAAAGCGGAAAAGTTTTCATCATTTCATTTATTTTTGTTTGATCTTTTATTTTTCAAAAAACTTTACCAAAAATAAAATAAATTCTGAAATGAAAAAAAAAGAAAATTCCCGTAAAAGTTATTTGATGATGATGATGATGAAATACATCACATGATGATGATGATGATGATGTATGGAATTGATTGAAACAAAATGAAATGATTAATTCTTGAAAATTTATTTTCCTGGGAAAGTTTTCGGGAAAGATTTTTTAAAAGGAAATTTTCCGTGGAAAATTACCATGATTATCTAATTGGAAAAAAAATTTTCATTGAATTTCCAATTTTAAGCTTCGAAAAATATCAATTTTTTCTTCGATTACTTCAATATTGATTGAAA